GGTGGGGGGGTTGGGAATGGGGGAACCCCCGGGGTTTGGGAACCGGGGGGGCACTGGGCTCCCAGACCAACTTTGACATGAGATGTAGGGGATGTGGGTGGGGAGGCGAGGGGAGCACAGGTGGGGAATGCCGCTGAAGGGGCAACCTCCAATGGGGCTGGTTTCACACTTGTGTTTATGGGTGTTTGGCTTTTGGACCATCTGGTTAAGTATCTCCATCTTAGCTGGGCTTTTTTTCCCCATGGTTTTTCATTTGTCATTTTTCTTTAATATGTGAAAGCTAAATTTTCAAAAGTGGGGTTATGTATGTTTCTGCACGTTGTGTGAACTTTCTGGGACTTCTGTTGCTCTTTTTCTGCCCCGATAGATTTAAATCGTCCACAGTAAAAGAATGCATTCATGCGATACTGAAGGAGAAGCTGGCCAATGTACAGTACATCCCAGAAGAAATGCCTCAGCTTACAAAGTCTTTATCAGAGACAATAAAAGACAGACTGAAAGGTAAGGAGGTTTGCTGGGGAAGTTGTTTCTTTTCTTACTGTGTCCTCTCCCGTTGACGAAATCCCTCTTTCCTCCTTTCGTCTTGAAGCCGATTTCTTCCCTGTTGACTGACTTGAGTTTACCGTTATGAAACATTCTGGCCTATATACATACATTCCTCGCCTGCGGAACTAGAAACCTAATTCAAGCAGACAAGATTTGTTTTCGTATAGAGTGGCTAGTGTAGGATGTCAGCCGTGGAGGGGCTGCAGGGGGAAAGAAGCTGCATTAGAGAGAAGGAAGAAGTAATGTTTCATTGCTTCTTGCTTCAATAAACAGAACACTTCCTGCTTTTTTTCTGCTGCAAGTTAGATCAGAGTTGGGTCAGAGTGGAATAGCCGGGAGATCAGAACAAGGCCCAGTGGGAGCAGTGAAGGGGGAGAGAGTTAGGACCACAGTCAGCCAAGGAGGGGTGTGACTACAGCCTCACAGCACTGAAAAAAGGTCGTGGTGGTGTTGCGCAGGATGCCCTCCAACATTTTAGTTCAAGAACTAAACTTCAGGCTCCAGCAGGTGTTTCCTGTGTTCAGTGCTGGAACAAGTACATAGATGTGTGTTGGCACGGTCACTTTTTTTTTTTGCCTTCTTCCTGGGGACAGGCTGGTGCTCCAACTGCTAGGCTGGCCTGACACGGTGACACAGACATACCGTCACCCTCGGCAGGAACTGTGGATTTATGCTTCTCCCGGAGTTATGCATCTGCTTTAAAACCAGCAGCAGCTGTCGTCCCAGCACGTGTTGATGCCGAGCTAATACGCACAGGGCTTGGCTTCAGTAATCTGTAAACACTCTCCCAGTAGCCTGAAGCGAGACTGGCCCGGTGTGGCCCTCGTATCAGCTGGCATCTCTGATAAGCATTGACATGGTGGATGTTACCAGACCCAGCATGTTGTGTTCAATCCTCCAGTGCAAAGAGTGTGCCTGAGTCTTCCCAGGACGCTGCTTTGTTGAAGACAGGCATTAGGATCTATATTTTATTTTAAACATGCTTGTTCTGTTTTGGCTTCTGGAATGTTGCCATGGCCTGATTGGATCTGGCCTGTGCCCTAAAGGTATTTCTTTACTATTGTAAAACAACTGCCTATCTTTGCAGACAGCATACGTAGAGCGTATGCTTTTATGTTGCCTTTTATCCCAGCTCAGAAGCACAGGAAACACCTATGTAGCAGAAGAATCTCTATAATACCTTTGCATCAGAACGGTTTTAAAATAAGCCAATTTTTTTCAAATTGGATTTTGTCCACCAGCAGCCTTATTTACATTCTTTCCATGAGTTCAGTTCTTGAAAGTTGTCAAAGTAGAATGCTGACATATAGTGTGGCTGTTCAGGGGTGTCTACTGCCTTAGATGCATCTTTTGACGGATGCCAAATACCCTGTTCACCCTTTAACTCCAATAAGACTGCTACTCTGTACCAAGTGAAGCTGCAAGGCAGTCTGTCCACTTTACCAATTGCATGGACTTGCACAGGACACTTGCTTTGTAACCAGAAATCTTTAGCTTTCTGGATCCTGTTTTGGGCTCATATTTTAAACAAGTTGTTGCTCTCACTATTATTTTTTTCTACCTCTCCAGAGGAGGGATTTGACAGGTACAAAATGGTGGTGCAGGTTGTCATTGGAGAGCAGAGAGGAGAAGGAGTGAAGTAAGTTTTGCATCTTCTAATTGTATTTCTATCATTTTTGTTGGGTTTGGGTGGTTTTTTTTTTTTCTTTGGTAGCTGCTTCCAACTTTCCAAGGTACAAAGATCTCTCTGCAGATCATAAAGTGTAAAGCACTTTATTTTTTCTTTAAGTGGCAAGTGAAGGCTTGGATTGTGGCTGATTGAATTACCCGGTGATAATTGCCTGTATGGGGGTTCTCAGCAAGCTGAAATGCTGAAAAGCACTTGTGAGGAGTGTTGCAGAAAGGCATTTTACATTGTATTCATGATGAACTAGAGCACCCACCCAGTCCATTCTCAAGGCCCTGCTGGAGCACAAGAGCCATGGTAACTCACTTCTGTCTAAAGCCAGATTTCCACAAGTACTTCATTTGCATTTAATCCCCCCAGGTAGGCATTTTATTATGTTTAAATTTCTATAATCCCCATGCAATACTGTCATGGGAATCGAGCCTAGAACGTGGGTGCTGAGCACTTGCAGTCTAGCTGCCGATGCCTGCAATCAGACAAAAGAATTCCTCTTGGCTGCAGTAGCGGGCTGTAGCTTTCCATTACTAGTGAGCAGGGAGAAGACAAAAGAGAACAGCCCATAAGGTTTATGTGCTTTATCTGCTGGGCTTATCTTTATTATTGTGCCTGGTACTCCAGCAGAAGATAAGTGCAGCAGAGCTGTAATCAGATCAGCTGCCTCAATGTTCTGGAGGTCAGGAAGGAATATCTGTACCTGCTGCTCAGGCTTTTGTCAGGAATGTCTGTCTGCCGGCAGACTGCTCCAGAAGCACTGTACCAGGGTGAACGGTTCAATGAGGTGGTCTGATTTGAAACGTGAAGCCCAGCAACAGACTGACAGAGCAATTGGGGAAATTCTCTGGTTTGCAATAGGCAGGAGGCAAAACTGAAGCATGATCGCTAACATCCTTAATGCAAAATACTGGGTAACCAGGGTATTCCAGAGGCAGAGTGGAATATTGGACAGAAAAAAAAGCAGAATAACCCTGAGGGCTAGGATAATAGAAAAAAAGGATGAAATTTAACAATCTTATAACAGTAAGTCATACATGTAGGGACTAGGAACAACACGCTGTGCCACAAACAGGGATCCCGACAGCTGAGACTGACTGGGGCAGGCAGGGAGCTGGGCGTTTGCAGCAGAGAAAGGGGAGTGCCAATGAGATTAGACAAGGCAGCAGCGACGTCTTGTCTGTAATATCCTGTTACGGTCCAGTTGCTTGACTTCAAGGTAAGGCTTGGACTGAAGCAGGTGTAGAAAAAGGCGAGCAGGATGGTCAGGGAACAGAGAGTATAGATACGAAAGGACTAGAAGAGCTTAGTTCATGGTCTGGTAACACGACATCTGCCAAGGAATACGATAGCTTCCTATAAATAAGTTGGGGGTATGTACCACGAGGGTGCTGGAGGTGAAGGACAAGAACAAATAAGCTAAATTAGCCACCAATATGCATAGGCCAGAAGTCAAAGATTCTTAAGCACCGTATCAATGAGGTTTCAAGCCCTGCTGCACAGTGGAGGTGGCAGGGTTAATAGCTGATGAGTTTGAAGATGGAGCTTGATCCACATACAGAGGGGGTTACAGCATGTGGTGGAATTCAGCAGTGGGGATGTAGTCAGGATTCAGAAGAACACTTCCCACTTCCTTTATCTTTAAAGGAAGCTCAGTTTGCTTTTCGAGGAAAGTATCTGCGATCACTTAGGTCCTTACACGTGAACTCTTGTGGGTAATGGCTCCGCTCTGTCTCCTTTGTCTAGTATGGCTGCACGATGTTTCTGGGATGCTGACACTGACAGCTATGCTCATGATGTGTTTATGAATGTAAGTATCGGCTGGTTTACCATGGCAAAGTGTAAAGCTACTTGCTTTTGTATGAGGGGCAGAGTGACCTTAAATATGGAGCAGAAAAAAAACAACCACTAGGAGGAAGGAACCAAGACTCTATTGAAACAGTATGATTTACGTCCTCATTCACCAAACATACTTAGATATAATAGCCAACATAGTAAAACTTATTTCCTGAGTAGGTCATACAGTACTGTACAAAAGTCATTACAGTCACACCATTTTACAGGTGGGGAGAGGAAGCACAAGAGATAAAGTCTTTTCTTATGTGCTTTGCTGAACTGCTATTATGGAGTATGGCTGGAATCCAGGACTGAGCAAAAGTCAAGGTTTTATTTTGTTATTATTTTATTTTTATTTTATTTTAAACTGACACCTAGACACCTGCAGGTGTGTGGATGGAGTAAATTGAGGCACTTCTGGCATTCAGATACACTGAGCTGGGTTGCACCACAAGTGAGGTGAATAAAAAGCTAACTAAAAGACAGAAAATTGCCATATATTACAATATAAGGTTATGCTCTGGTCTAAATGTTCCCTTAGGTTAGGCCTTTTCAGTTAGGCTAGCAAAGAGCTTGCCTTTACTAACACAGAGCCTTTCTCTGTTTCCCCCAGGACAGCCTGTTTTGTGTGGTAGCTGCGTTTGGCTGCTTCTACTATTGAAGACAGTAAACGTTGCACAGAAGGACAGAGGTGGGGGAGAATACTTTAAAGTATTTTTGTTAAAGTGCACAAAAGCATCATGTTCTTCCTTTAGTACCTAACAAAATAACAGCTCTACAAAGCATGTCCTACACCAGTTCTACACATTACAACATTCCTTCCTCCTTGTGGACATCGATATAGCTTTAAGCACAATATTATTATATCCTTTATTTAAATCGCCCTTTGTTTTTATAGTGTGATGGTTTTGTCCTAAAAAAGTGTATTGCCAATAGCCATTGTTTCTAAGGCAAACTCAACTTCTGTATTGAAAAGATTCTGTTGCTTTTATTTTTGTTAATTTTCTGAAATGAATGAAATATTTATAAGAAATGTAATATAATAAATCTATGTATTTAATATTTCCTCTCCTGTGGTTTGACCCTTGCCATTTCCACCATTTGTCCTTTTCCTCCACTCTACAAGATGCACTAGCCTTGACTGCTTGTCTGTGCTTCTCAGATGAACGTTTTCTGAGGATTCTTTGTAAATTAACCCATAAAGCCAACCTCATATTCTGGTTATCCAGATTTGTTTCTGTGACTCCCATAAGATTTGGGCTGTGAATCCCAGCTAAGTGTCACATGAGATGATATTAACCGATAGGAAGACGAAGTATTTAGGACATTACGTCAGGCCAGCGGCCTGCACACCCCACTCACTGCCGAAACTCCTCCCTGCTGTAACTCCTCATTGGGTTGGTGCAATTTGGCACCTGTGGACACCGTGAGTAATCACTGCTCATTGCCCTCTTCAGCAGATACTGCAGTGCTTTCTCAATCTTTGCCTCTCTGTAATTGTTTTGGGATATGAGGGTGGATGTTTGGAGCCCAAATTTGTTAGGACTCCAGCCTCGGAAAAGAGCAGTAGAAAAGGCTGCTGTAGGTCAGAAAAGGAACGCGGAAGTCTCTCATCTCCCCAAAAGTTGGAGGACCACGTTGGTTCCTGAGAGATTGGGTGCCACCAGAGTGCATCTCGGGTGCCCATTGGAAGATGGGATGAGTTGCTGTGTGGTGATGCCTGTTCTCTCTGTGCTGACCAAGGAGCAAACGCAGCTGAACAATTTCAGCAGCATGAATGGCTTTTAGAGTGCTGAAGTTGGGTGAGGTGAGTCCTGAATCCTACCCTCACCGACTGTTAGAGCAGAACTCACTCTGTCCGTGCAGCTCTTGGAAAGCAGGGAAGTAACAAATTACAATGCATCTTCTAGAATCACGCTTTCATCTACAATCCTGGAGGCAGCACGCTCCTGTTTGAAAGTGGTTTCCTCTCATTTTCCTATTTGATGGCAAATAGAGGGTGACTTCCCTGATTGCTCTGTCACTACCTGTGGCTGTGACTCGTTAAGGGAGCTGCAGAGAGGATGCAGTGGCGCCGTTTGGTTTGTGCGTCAACCTGGGAGTGCAAGTGTTGGAGAACAGCAAAACCCTCCACGTAAAGACACTTGCCAGGAGATAGTATATGCCCTCACACTCGTTTTGAGGCTTTTATTAAGTCACGGTGATTAAATCACGATTTTTCACCTTGCGCTCGCTCTGTTTTGGAGGCTTTTATCAGCCACTTCACAAAGGTGTCGTACAAAGCAGGTTGAGTCTCTGATCGTTCAGCTCCAGCCACCCTTGGCCATGGCCTGGGCAGGCGAACGGCTGCTGTGTTTTCCCTGTAGAAAGATCAAGCAGCTGCTGAAGCAGTACAGGCCGGCGTTCCTGCACCACCGCTGACAGCAAAGAGCTGCGACGAAGCTGCCGTGGCCCAGAGCAGCCAGCTCTGCTCTAGGGGTGCTTGGCTCCCTCCTTCCATGGTCCCCAGAACTGACGTTTGACAGGTGAAGGACCGCAGGGCAGGGTTGTGGGCCGCAGCAGCGAACCTCCGCTGGGCCATTCCCCCGCTGCTGGCCGCCCGGTCCGAGCGCGGAGCGCCAGGACACCCTCGACCCTACGAGCTCAGCCCCGGGGGCGGGGCGGGGG